AAATAAAATGTGCCATCAAATTGAAGATTAATGGTACTGAATTAAAAAGAGTGCAGAGTATGAGGTATCTTGGAGTTTATATTGATTCTCATTTGAATTGGAAATCCCATATTGATTATATCGCAAAAAAACTGAAAAGAAGTATCGGTCTACTCTCTAAAATTCGTTATTTTACCAACCTGAATACCTTGATAAAGTTATATTATACTCTAATTCACCCTTTTCTCATTTATGGTATAATATCTTGGGGTATGACATATCCTACATCTTTGCGACCTTTATTTATTTTACAGAAAAAGGCTTTGCGTATAATTAACTTTTCTAAATTTGATGCTCATTCCACACCAATATTTAAATCTCTAAAAATAATTAAATTACATGATCTTTTCACTCTACATGCCACGATGTTTATGCATGATTATTATCACGAGGAATTACCACCTATCTTTAATAATCTTTTCACTCCAGTCAAAGAATTACATACTTATAATACGAGGTTAGCATCAAGGCAGTCGTATTCTTTGCCAAAAACAAGAACTAATTATGGAATTTTTAATATTAGATACCAGGGTGTTAAGATACGGAATTCCCTTGATGAGGCCGATAAAAAATTGTCAGTTTTTAATCTAAAAAGTAAACTTAAGGAAATGTTTTTTTATTCATATTAGCCTATTGCTCTGTTCATTTATGTATCGAATTGTTGAATTGCTTTCATTATTTTTAATTATTGATTTTGCTAAAACATTCTAAATTTTAATAATAATTTCATAATTATATGGTGTTTTGCTTCTCTCTGTGGTTCTGCTAAATTGAGTAAAATATTTATGTAAATTGACTACTTTATATATTAAGCTTCGTTATATCTGTTTGTCAAGCGTTGTGTGTAAAACGTCTGCCTGATTCATTTAGCCCCTTAATGGTTATTTCGGGCAGACGGAACCCATGTCATGTCAAAAAATTAATGTAATGTAAAATTAATGTAATAAGTGGGTTCAAATAAAATGTCTTGTCTTGTAGGGACCAGAAAGATAATCACGTTGCCAAGATAGAAGATTACCGGAGATGCCAAAACATTTCAATTTCAAAAGCAGCAGTTCATGGTTTACTTTGTCAAATGCCTTGGCAAAGTCCAAGTACAGTGTGTCTACTTGACACTTGTTTTCTAGTTTGTTTCCAATGTCGTGTAACACCTGCAGGAATTGACTAGTAGTTGACTTGCCCTTCAAGAAACCAAACTGCAGATGATGTAATTTTTCTCCAATGTGCTCAATAAGCCTGTTGTAGATACATCTCACCAAGAAATTTTGTTTGGTATGTTTGAAAGTTTGGAGACTGACTTAAAAACGGACCAAAACTTTTTGCTACTTGTTTTCAAGAGATCAGGCAGATTTTGAAAGAATTCTTTACGCTTGTCATGCAACAATGATTTGACTTGACGCCTTAGAGTTCGAAACTTTTCCCATGCACTTGGATTCAGCGACTGTTTTGCCCTTTTCTGCAAAAATCCTTCCTATTAATAAGGTGTTTAACTTCACCTTCGAACCAGGGAGGAGAGCTGTTTTTATTGAGTGACTTACGTGGAATATGGTCAGCGGCTGTAATAAGGAAGATGTTTTTTCCATTTCTCCCAATCAGCGTCAAGGTCTAAATTTGAGTAAAAAGCGTAAGTTGTTCTGTAGACCATTCCAATCAGCACGTTTGAAATCGAAAACAGTTCTTTTGTTACAGCCAAATGAACTCATGGTTAAGTGGAAGTCGAGCATCAATAAACCGTGATCACTAGATATGTTCATGGTTTTTGGGCAAATACAAGTCAAGTCTTTTATGACTTCAGGGGTTCTTGAAAACACAAGGTCTAGGATATTATCTCCACATGTAGAATGAATGTTAGTTTGTTCCAAAAAGGCATGACAGGATGAGCCCGGACTAAGTGTGTAATTTTACGCCCGTGGTTTCATGGGATATCTACCTCACATTCTGAGGTAGATATCCTAGCGTGCATTGCGTGTTGTTGTTGCTATCGCCTCACAGAATTTCTCTATTTGCTGCTTTCTGTTTTATATTTCTGTGTATTTGAATACAAATAGTCCGTTTAGTTAAATAATATTAAAAAACTCATTAATAATTCAGGAGCAAAACACAAAGAAAAATCATAAGCGTGCCGTGTTTTTAAATTGATAAAAAATCATGTTAATTTACATAAACTTTAGCTTTGATTTTCTCGGTTTAGACAAAGTTTATTTTAAAAATTACTTCGCCAATGAACTCGTATAAGGGCAAAATGCCTCTCGCGCAGATACGGACTATACACAATTCTGTTAAATATTAATAATAATAACAATATAATAACAGTCAGTTTGAGCGAAGGCAAAATGCATCTCACGCAAATAGGTAGGTAAGGTAGGTAATACTTTATTTAAAATTAACAGAAAGAAGAACACGCTAGCCCCATCAACTCTAGGCTGGTTTCCATGGGGGGGCGTGTTTAGATCTTAAAAATCGTTAAAAGGAAAATTTAAAATAAATATTAGTACACACATACTGTACACGTTACTATATACAAATAATTAGGAAGCATGTCGCTGTCCAACAATTGATTTAAACGAATGAGGCGACTCGGCCAATTTTGCTTTTGACCATTTATTTAAATAATAATAATAATAATGACAATAATAACAAGAGTTAGTTTGAGCAAAGGGCATGACTGTGTCACGCAAATACGGCCTTGTGACAGTTTAGTTCAATAATCCCAATAACAACAGCTAGTTTGAGCGAACGGCAAAATGCGTCGTCTCACGCAAATACGGCCCTTTAATTTTCATAATAATAACAACAGTCAGTTACAGCTAAGGGCAAAATGCGTCTCACGGAAATACGACCCTTTGCCCATTTAGTGAAATAATAATAACAGTCAGTTTAAGCCAATGGCAAAATGTTTAGGTAAGTCGCCTCACGCAAATACCTACAGTCAATTTAGTTGAATAATCACGAGAGTTCATTTGACCGAAGGGCAAATTGTTCGCGACGACAAGCGTATGTGAAACAAGAAACTACTTCTGTTGCCACGGAAACGGCAGAGTCATTAGCCAATCATAGCAAATGAAGCGTTGACCCATCCCATATCACATTGCTGGCGAAAATTACACACTTAGTCCGGGCGCGTGTTCTAATGGAAGTCTAAAGTTATACGAAATTCCACAGAGTGAGCTGAAACTGGTCGTGAGGCTACGAGAGTGGAGTTCCAAGTCAGTTCAGGGAAGTTAAAATCACCAGTTATAAGAATCAGATCATGATTTTGGGTGTCTTGTAAGAATTCAGTAAATATTTGAGACCAAGATTCGGTTTTATACTTCTGAGATCGATAACAGACACACAAAAGAGCTTTTTTACTATTTTTGTTCAACTGGATTTCGATTGCAACAATTTCTAGAAGATCATGCCAGTTTCGTTTAGCATTTGACGGTAATACAATGTTATATGGAATGTTCTCTCTTAGCGCGATCAATACACCTCCTCCTCGTTTCTTTCCTGGTCTATCCTTCCTGATTATATTGTAGCCGTTAGGTAAAATCTCATTGTCAAATATCTTATCATTTAACCTGTAATAGTTTAACATTTATCTGTAATAGTGATAACATCTAAGTTCTTACCATAGACAAGGTCCTGAAACGATTTTAAATTACTAGTAGAAGAGTTGTGGCTTCCGAGGCTTTGAGCATTAAAGGAATTGGCATCGTAATGATGTTGAGTTGCAGGCAGGTCCAGGATTAGTTGCTATATCACCAGCAAGTAGAATACACAGGAGAAGGTGCAAATTACTATTCGCAATGTTAAATTGAAGGCCATATCTGTGATTAGACATGAGAGGGAAAGTAGACTTACGTAAAGTATTATCGCGCGTGGAGGACCAAAGACAACACAATCGATTTGATATTGACACTAGTTCTGGGGAAATACTACAGATATTCTAGGGAAATGTTCTGTCGTTGGGTTGAATTTCTGATGGTTTTGATCTTACTGATAACCAGAAAGTTAAAATGAGGAAAAAGAGATACCCAAAAACTTTATTGAGCATTTTATTGAAGGTTATTCTATTTGATTTAATTAAACACCATTGCATAAGGTAGTTGTTGCCATGGAGAGCGACGCCAGACGGAATTCAAATTTCAAAAGTTCCAACGGTCAAAAACAATTAATGTTGAATAATTCATGAACACGACGTTTAAATAACACCAAAATTAAACAAAATAACCACAAAACGATTCGTAGATCACACAGCAAGATTCGGAAGAAAACGACAAACGACGACAAAGTTATTGTTCATTAACCAAAATTCACAGTTGTAGCGCTATAATAATAAATAGCAATACGATCCAACAAACCAAAGTAACTTTACACCACGATACAAATCCAATTTCAAAATACGATAAGAGGATGCACAAAATTCTTAGCTTTAATGAAATATAAAGCTTAATATAATAGCTGAGAAATTAACTGAAAATTTTTATATTTAAGCGGAGCTCGCTCAAGCGTAAACCTAACCTATTGACATCGCACACGTTGTCGTGTGCAATTATAATGCCATAGAGGTAAAGATAACTAAAAAAATGCCAGCACAGTATTTACAGAAACATACCATGCAAGAAGTATTTAACTGATCAGATGTCTATCAAAGCACAATGTAACGCTGTATATTCAAAAATCTGTTTCAATCAGTCCTAGAGGTGGAAAAATACAAAACAATTTTCTGGGGGAGAACACCTCCAGACCCCCTACCAGTACATACGAAACCACACCAAATTTTTTGTCACTAACAACCATCTGTCATCTCTCCATACTCAGCATGGTATGGTCTCTTCTTGTAGATCCCCCAAGACAAGTTCGTAAAAAAAGCCCTGTGTTCAAATTGTAGAAAATCGCTGATGATATTATCATTAGTTAATATTATTAATATTCTGTTAAGCGCTCACAGGAGAACTGGTAACGAGTGACGTTAAAAAATCGTGTTTGTGGTGTGTTCGAGAACTTTTATGATATTATTTAGTTTTAAATAAAGAAGTAAAAATAACTCAAAAATGTGATTTATTCAGTGTGAACGGACCGGAATTCACCACACTGAAAGTGGCGACCCATCGGCAGGATAATTAACGGGAAATTTCATCATTTGTTTTATATTTACGATCGGATTGCGAAGGATTGTTTGTGGGAATTAGCAGTGGATATGGAACTGTGAGTACATTTTCTATTAATTTTGTGGATATATTTCAATTACTAAAGCGTTTATTTATCGTGGGTTCTCATTATATCGTTTAAAAAACTACACAGTTTTGGATTAACTTGACTATTTTTCATTGGAAATCGGTGTTTATATATTTTGTCGACAACAAGATATTTGGGGACATAACGTTTGTCTTACATCACGTACATGAGTAACAATCTTTTAATATTGGGTTTTATATGGACTGGAGCGTTGACAGTGGAGTATAACATTGCTTAAATTCAAGATATCAATACAGTGAAGTGATAAATAACTTGGAACTTGGTTTTTAATACTATTACATTTAATGTTGTGGATTTCCAAAGAGGGGAGCATATAATAAACAACAAACTGACATATTGTTACAACAAAATTAGATTGAGTTTTGAATTTCGCACACTTTACTCAACAGTCGGTACTGTATTTGAGACAATATGGCAACTGAAGCAAAACATGACAAACAGGTGGCACTTGCGAAAATAAACTTGTCGGAGGCTGAAGACCTTATAGCAACGAACAATCTGGATGATACAGTCATGGCGTATGGGAAACTTGGGGAAATCATAAAACGACTTGAACTATCCAAGGACAACACTATGCAATATATGATGGAAAATGGCTCGGATTTGGAAACACTAAAAGAATGGGCAGATAAACAAAAGGAATGCATTCTGTGCTTTCGTAAAGCAAGGGACAACTGCAA